AAGTATTTGTATTTTCAACCGTATACCAAAAGGAAGAATTTCTCATTTCAATTTTTTTATACTGATATAATCGTCTCGTTTTGCAATTTTGGAATAATTATCATAAAGCATATATATTATGTCAAAATTTTAAACTACTTTTATTTAGACTGCTATTAATAGTTAATTTTTTTTGCGGTTTTCATTTATTCACTAGCTTTATCTCTAATACTTAATACTATATGTATACTAAACTAGTATTATTGATGATGATGAGATCATGATGTATGATATATCTAAGAATTAGTATTAGTATATACTAATTCTTAGTATTTATTTTATGTAAGTATATAAAATCAAGATATGGTTATTGGATATTGTGAAATAACTAAATAAATTTGTGAATTATATAAAATACATATGTATGTCGATTTACACCAGTATAGTGCCATACAAAACTTTGTCAATGATTAGTAGTCAGTTTTTAAGAATGATATACGTGTGTTAAAATTTATTTTTATATATTATAAAATACTTTGTTCACTCTAGTATTTGATATATATAACATAACTATAACATTGGAGATACAGTAACACACTTAAATTACGATATAAATCCTCCTTTCTTTTTCAAATTGCTAAATAGTTAGGAAATAAATACCCCAGTACATCCTCTAGCTGCATATAGCAATAAATCTATTTCAATAATGGATTTTACAATTTCAATTCAATGACACATCATCTGTACCTACGTACTGATTTGGTACTTAAATTTTATCAGCCGCTCTCAGCATTGATATCTAATCCACTTAAATGTCCCATACCAGTGAAATCCATTTCATTACGTCCCTTATAGACGATGCATCAAATCTAACAAAACCTCGAGTCGATAAACTGAAACATTGTTGCAAATGCGAAGGTTGAAGCATTGAGCGCCACTGCACGAGTGGTTCAAAATCATTTATCTAAAAGCCGCTCCCTTCCGCCATCAAAACTAAATCAAGTAGGGCGAGGAACATAAACTCGACCGCCCTTGCAGTGAGATAAAATATAAAGGGAAGTTTGATTCACTCGCGCGACATCACACGTAGGGAACGTCCGCCTCCAGCCCTCCGTAACGATGTCTCCATACACGGATATCTCTCTATTTGACTACGACTCATATCTCGAAATGTAGCGCATTTAGTGGCACATTATTGGAAAACTTCAACTACTTTTATATGTCAAGCAATTTTATATGTAACTTACGACCCGTATTGTAAGATAGTTCAAGTAGGTACTTTCCTCGTTTCGACTTGTAAATGTAAACTTACAAGAAATTATTTAAAAGAGCAACACACAAGTTTCTTGCTCGTTCTTCTTGTGACGAGACAGCTTTCCGAACGAGTGGTAGATAAAAAACAAATTGTTATGACTATTCAAAAGTGCTTAAATTAAGTTTATTTGAATAAATGATTTTCTATTCTATTCTATTCTATTCCTCACAATTTTAATTTCTTAATTTTATGATATAATATTGAATCAGTGTTTTCTGCTATCTAAATGTGAGACCTGAGACCACACCATTGGATCACAATACTACTGTTTAAGAGAGTCGAGTTATTATTTTTTTATCTTAAGAACATATATATTACTGTGCACTAGTGTCCTTTTCCTGATCGTCTTGTATTCTGAGTAAAAGTATTTACCTATATGATCTAATTTATTTAAATTTCATTTGGTAATATAGTATTGGCGGATTACATTAGATTGGTGGATTAAAAAAAGTAATAATGGCCGATGTCAATGTGGAAATTAAATTTATTGATATCTCTTTCATGTGATAGATATTAAAATGACCTCAAAATTGATGTACTCCACATACTATATGTATGATGAGTACACATGCATACATACGAGTATATGAAACAATAATCGTCACATTGATGAAATTTGTCTCAGTAAATAAAGTAAAATTGGATTATTAAGGAACGACAATCTGATTGATTGACAATACTGACATGATTAGGAGTAGGCTGCTAACAACTAAGTACCTACATACCTATGAGATTCATTAAAAAAAAGTAATTATTAAAGCGACAACTTTTCATTACATTACTAAAGACGCAACTTTCAAAATTGTACCTATCATAAGGACGAACGATATTAGGGGTAACCATTGGAAATACAATTTGAGTGGATTCTTAATTACTTAATCCACGATTATTTTCATAATTGCTGTGGTGTAAGCGAATTGAGAATTAAAAAAAGCCGCCGGAGAAGATCTTAGCGGGCGAATATCGTTGCGAGGTGGAGGTTCATCTTGAGATAAGCGGCTCGACGGTGGCGGCGGCGACGGGCGGAGAGACGGCACCCGCCCGGCATCTGGCCCGGTAATTAAGCGCATCTGCCTACGTTCAATTTTGAACGCGCTGGATGAGAGTTGCCCCGCGCCTTCGGGTCCATTCAGGGGGTACGAGCAAATTGCTAAACTTTCAATTAAAGAGTTGTTATTCAAACCGCTCCCGGTTCCTCAACGGAATTATGTTTTATTTCATAACGAAAACTCTAATAGGTACTTGTTTCGCATCGTACTTGGCCACTGTTTTACGATTTCTCAAATGGAGTTGCGAAAATTTATTAAGAGCCGTATATTTTAAATAAATTACGAAACAGCTTTCAAGCAATTGATATTAATGGATTATATAGAAATTTCAAAAGGTTTCATTTTATTTAAATTATATTCAATTAAGGATAAAATTTAATATTTATAAGTATCCTGTCTATAAGAATTTCTTTCCAGTTTATTTTTTAAATAATTATCAATGCTACTATGACGTCTAAATTTGTATTCAAAGACAATGTATAAAATGTCTGATCAAAACACATGTTCATAATGAATTTATATATTCAAACAACTTGGCCTCTTTGTATCATTCAAATAAAAGCCTTGTTATGTTTATTTTTAGATAAAATCAACACTGAATTCAACATTCATAATAAATTAAACCTCGTTCGTTCAATGTATACATACTTTTTTATAGTATAGTTCAAATTGATTGGTTCATTAAAAAATAAAATTTTCTAATTGAACGACATTGTGGTAAATACCATTCAAGTAGTAAGTACATGTAATATAATAGAATTGGAAATATACTCGGCATAGATCATCTGTAGGCTATGGTTTAAAGTCCCATCACAGTTTAACTAAGTAAATATTGGTGCTCCCGGTGAGATATTGACATGTCAAAGGAAATTCAAATAATTTCCTTTGACATGTCAAAGCAAACTCAAATAATTTTATGTAATTATTACGTTATTTATATTTTTATTCATTTTAAATTAAGCGGCGTAGTAGATCTTACGCACAGATTATGTTACAAAAAGGTTTATAAACAATATATACATATATTGACAGCAATAAAAAAAACCGATATTATACCAAATTTATATTTTAGGCGTTCAAATTGCATATTCTGATATACATAAATTTGAATAATATATATAAATTGTATAATTTTTTTAAAAACGCTTTTGTATAAATTTGTAAGAAAAAGTAACTGAAAATATAAATAATTTGACGACCTCGGTGGTCTAGTGGTCTAGCACACCGCTTTACGTCCGATGGTCGCGGGTTCCTCGCACGGCACAAATATTTAATTCATAAGTATAATTGTTTGTATCGGTCTGGGTGTTTTCTATGTATAATACGTATGTATTTACGAAAAAACAATATCTATGTACTTATATCAGTTATCTATGTAGTACACGTAACACAAGCGTTAACTAGCTTAACTTGGGACTAGATGGCGCTGTGTGAATTGTTCTGAGATTATTTTTATTATAAATAAAAGTAGCAGAAAAAGGTTTTCTGACGGTGACTACGTCCATACTTAACAAACTACTAAAATCGAACCAACACAAAAGTATTTTAATTTTAGTATAAAGTACTTACCGCCAACTATTTTTAAAATAATACACTCTTGCTAAAGTTTTCAACTTACATAGTATATATGGCATCATAATTTAAACCATTATCTTAAAACATACGGCATAATTTGACAGCCGATTAGATGAACTTACTATCGGCAAAATAAAACTGATGAACTGACACTTCGACAGACCGGTTTGATTAGTAAAGGAAATAGGTGCATGATCTCTAATATATGTACACCTACAGTAATGTCATATAAAAAAACTAAACTAATGACGTATTATTACTTTCCCAATTACGTTAAATAGCATTTCTCTAACTGAGAGTTGGATAAAATATATTTATGTATACTTGATTTATTTATAATTCCTAACAGAATTATAGACATTAATACGACGTTTTCGTTAACTGGCTACGTTGTGTATCTAACAGTGCTTGTCAATTTCAATTTCGAACTCATCGATGAAGGAAAGCACCGATACCAAATCAAATTAAACATAGACGACTGTAGAGCCTACATTTCTCCCTACCTGTTAGATTTAAATACTGTCAGTGAAATATGGAATATGGCAAGTATGGAAACCGACGCCAACAATTTAGATTATCTAACAAATACATATAAATATATAACCTCATTATTTTTGTCTATTATAAATAGTCTTCTTAAATTGGTAAGGGCCTAAAACTACAAATTCTGAATTAAAAGAAAGCAATGAGTACACAATTAAACATCTTTTAACGGATTAGAGTTAAGTATTGTTTTAGCGAATATATTTAAAATTAACAAACCAATGCCATAACTTTCACTTATGGTATTCCCTTGTTAATTTTGAATATCTTGATAATTGACATTTGTTTCATAGATATTAATTACTAATATTGTAATACATGTTTCATAATCTAACAGGATTAAATTAACATAAACATGCTCAGTACTGTGGAATAGCTAAGCCCTGTTACACTGCACTTATCCATGCTGAATGGATAGGTATCTCTTCCTGCATTATCTAAGGTTTTACACCTAGAAAAAAGGAAAACATTTATTGTTCGTGTTTAAATATACCAATTTTTTTATTTTATTCTTATTATGTTCATTATTTTTGTTTCAGTATTAGCTGAGTGCGGTGCTATTTCAGCTCGATGTGCGTCCGGAGTGCGAGGAGGGAGCATGCTCGTGCCCCTCTTAATACTTAGCACCGCCCTTGCGGCAGCTAACACCGGCAAACACGGTATGTTCCAGCGTAAAAAATTCTAGAATACCCGTTTTTAATATAACAAACTTCCATATTGATTTTGTACAAAGTTTAAAACGAAACCTGAAATTACTTTCGCCGTCGAACACAATGCACGCGTCGGTAACTGAATAATTTAAACGCTTTCAAAAGCAATCGTGTGGCTTATTACATTAAAATCATGCGAGTAAATTGACAATCACTCTACACAAATACAATAATAATGCCATTACAATCAAATGTAATATAACGTAGATGTACATTTATTTTTCAATTCAAAGATTATTTTAAAATTATAGGACATATTCGTTTCTCATGCTATATAGCTACAAAATGTAAAAAGTTTTCACGAATATCACTAAGGAGAAGCGTGTTTTTTAATAGACGTAATTTTTATACTTGTGTGAAATACATACATATTCTATACAAAGCCGAGAAACAGATGCGTGATCATTAGATATTACGCTTTATTATAGTGTGTTTCATATCTATATACTATATATATTTATATAAAAGGTACATTTAAAGTATAAAATTATCTAAACGACAATCATCTTGCAATAATAAAATATTAAAAGATCGAACATTGAGATAAAAAAATTTGGGTTATTTACCAACAGCCTCGGTGGTCCAGCGGTTTAAGAACACCGCCTAAGTTTCAATACTCATGAGTTCGATTCCTCCCACGATACATTCATGTGTGTAATTATTTGAATTATATTTATTATATTGAATATATAAAATCAGTACATAAGTATTACTATCAGTTGTTTAGAATTAATGGTACACGCTCTGCTTAGTTGCGGGCTAGATGCCACTGGGTCTGTTATTATGTATTTAAATAGTACACGAGAAAATAAACATGAGTTATAATAAATACCAAAACAAAATTTATATTTCATTAAAATTTTATTTAAAATAACTGACCTGTTGTTCAAAGATCGCATGTAACACTGCGCAAGAACAATGAAGTAAGCACTTAACTCTAGTGCAGGTACACTTTCTAGCAACAAATGAGAGCATACTTTTGGAGGTACCATCGTTAAGCAGAGTTAAGTTGTTAGCTGAACTTTACTACTGCATTGAATAAAAAGCTTCTTTAAACTTACGATAAAGAAAACAATGATAAGGGAAATAGACTAATGATACTTAGCAACACTATACCATAACATGCATATTTATTGATTTATATTTAATTTATTTAAATAATAGTTTTTTTTATTTGCTTACATATAAGCATCACAGAGTCACTCATCTGAAATAATATTAAGTAACCATATCAGATAGATTAGTGAAATTTATTATGGTACATTTAATTGCAAAATGGTCTATATGAGTAGTTATTATTAATTATTCACAAATAATACATCTCGTCGTCGCTTTTACAGTAACAAAAACATCTGCGTATATATATTTTTACCAAGTTAATGGGCACTTTTTAACAATAAATAGGCATTTTTTTACCTGTATATTTTAATATCGTTATTGTTCAAGTTTAGATTATTCTGTTTATATCCAACATTTCCAAGAGGCACATATAATGCCCTCAGACAGCAGGCCTGTTTGCAAATAAGAACAGAGTTGGTAAGTTAAAAAATTTTGGCGTTAAATTTGCATAAACCTCACGGTGCTCTGTTCACTTTTTCATACTTTTTTTCTTTTTCATCTCATCGCTCACGCGGTTTCCGTAACTCATTTCATTAAAAGATTGTATAAATTATTTTTACAGGTAAATACACTGTTCATCAAAATATTATATTAACTTATTTATTCTAAAAGTTGTCCTCTTTGATATATCTTACTCTCTGATAGACTTACGTTTAGGTGTTTTAAAAACGTTTTCTGAGTTATCTCTCCTCTTTTTTATAATAATCTTATATTCTTTCATGATGCCAAATACATAGACTATAGTATAAATGAATAAAGCTTTAATTTGTGTATATTTTTTTGTCAGCTAATCTAATCAGTTTTAAGTCAGTGCTACACAAATAAACAACGAAGATAATTAATTAACAACCCCGTCAAAAACGATTAGATTAGGAGTTGAATGTTTACCCGAAATTTTATTTAAATTTGTGGTATTTTTATTCGTTAGAGTTAACTGTGTTTATATTTTTCCATTCATGTTTCTTTATTAACGGTCAATATACAGGTAAAATGAACAGCGTCCATATGTAATATATATTCTGCTGTATATAAGTACTTACAGTTTAGTAGATATCTCTTTCTATTTTAAATACTTGTAATTCATTGTTCCGGTTATCAAGCTTGACTTACAATAATTACGACATATAGATCTAAAATAAAATTGTCAGTAACGAAAAAATAGTATACAGTAATTAGTATATGTGGAAAGAGAAAACTAGACCTGTTCTATTACTATTATACTATATACATACATGTACCTACCTGTTTATGTATACAACATGTTTACACAAGTACACATGTCAGCTACACACCTCGTGAGCCCTGAACAAACACGATGGTGATTTACACTTCCTGGGGAGACAGAAACATTAATCCGTGATTCCGCTCAACTTGTAACTTGATTCTATCCAATTTGTTTCAGTGGTATCTTATATTTACCTAAAGGTAATGTACGTACATACCTAAACATCTACACTATACAATTTAAAGATTGTATAGGTACACGTAATATATAATATTAGTATAATCAAACTGTCACCCGCAACATGCTACAGCGCACATGGTATAGTGCATACAGAGGCATAGACAAACGGACTAAAGTTCTATTAATCATAGTTTGCCTAGTTACATTTTTATGGCTGAAATTCTCAAAATATATGTAATTATCAAAATATTAGTATATATATATATAAGAATACAACATTCTAATACAGTGTAAACATATATAAATAATGATTCAATAGTTTCGACTCACTTACGGCGGAGATATAGCGTATATATAAGTATATGTACAAAAAAATGCAATGAATGGAGTCCTGCTTCTCAAAGCGGAAATAAGCTATGCATAATAAATATGTAGATATGCATATTTACAGCATAACTGTTGTCCCATTCGAAAGAGTGTAGGTACTCTTTCGAATTTCATTTGATAAAGTCAATCGTCTGTTTATTTTTACGAAACCTATGAAATATTTGTGAAGCCTGTAAAGTATCTTTTTGTATTATACAAGAAATTCTAAAATCAATCCAAACTATATTTAACAATAAAATAAAACGTAATTGTTTGTATTTTGTCTCATGTTTATTATATAAATGTATACGAAACAAAAACATTTCTACGCTTACCTTTATTCCTGGCACATCAATCCTTATCATCAAATTTATTCAGATTATAAACAAAAAGATGGCATAATTAAGAACTTACTTATTGAAGTAGCAAAAGAAAGCAGTTTCTAAATATCAGGATTTAAAGCAATTTAAAAATAAATTCTTTGTAGGATTATTCTATCCCGAAATCCTCAATGTGCTTTTTCTGAATGAAGAAAATACAATTTTATCTGAAACACAACACGGGACGCCGAGGTCCCATGATAATTGTTACGTATAAAATATCTAGTCGATACCATTCTACTGACCTAGTATTTGAAAGCGGTCAAGACACCGAAGTCACAAAAAGAGATGTACAAACTACGTAGTGTTGAATACTAATGTAATGTAAAAGAGTACCAATTTGTATTTGAGTACCCTCCCAGTTCACCGAGATTACAGACGAAACATAACCTTGTTAAACGGCACCTGCGCTTAACTTCTGCAACTACTTCTCTTAAGAAAAAATTATATCTAGTATTTAGAATTGTCTTCTTCTATTTTATTGTATACTAGCTACTCACCCATGCTTCATACATACGGGTGTACATATTTTTTCTGCAGCAAACGATGAAAATAATACGAATGTAATATATATAAGAACTTAGGAAAAATTGCAGAATTACTGTAGAAAGGCAAAATTCTGTTTTGGAACTACATTATTACTTATTACATATTTGAAATCAATATATATTTATATTAATTTAATAATGTACGTTTTAAATAATATTCATAACTAAAATCGGCCGAATTTACTTACTTACACATGACAAATGAAATGTGAAGGAGATTCAATACAAATGCGTTTAACTTTCTTTCCTTGCATATTAGTAACACTATAAAATAATAAAATTTCTGAACAAAACTTTCATTGTTACCACATTTACTACAATTGAAAAAGTAGCTATCTCAGCAATTGCTGTATATTAATGCTATATACTTGTAATTGAGACACAACTGTTAAAGTAGCCCAATAACAAGTTGTGAACCATATCATTTTTTTTAATGGATGATAATGATATTGTGCACTCAACTGCGTGATATAGGATGGTATAGGATGAGGATGAAGTTAAGTTAGTTAGCATATTGAGGCGGATTTACCAGAAATAGATCACGATATTTTTTTAACGGAGACCGAGTGAATAAGGTAAATATAAATAATGCTAATAGTATAAATAGGAATCCCATTATCAAAAATAGCCTTCCTTCAGCATCATATTCAAATGCATGCTAAATATACGAATGACAGGATACATAGGAAAGTACTATAAAGTTCATTATCAAATGCTATATCGTGGTTATAATAAGATACAAAAGTCTACAAATCATTCTGAAAAAAGAATAATGTATCAAAACAGAAAATATCATTCAAACTCACACGGCGTCTAATTGAGCATATCGCAAGTAATTTATCATTGATTCGCAGATCCTATTAATTACCTATGTTGATGTTAAGTAAATCTGATACAAATACAACAAACATTGTAACTGGATTTATTTCGACGATCCGGAGAAACGGGAGATCGAGTTTCGTTCGCAATACTGTAAAACTTTATACAATTTTGTTTTGATATATTTACTCATAAGTACATCAAATACATACGAGTTAAAATAACGAAACATATAGAGAGAAAGAGCCATAACACAAATTAATATTTTATTTAAAATACTATTTATTATTCTTATAATTTTAATTCATATTC